CAGACAGACGGACAGACAGACGGACATGGCTATATCGTCATAGAATTTTACGCTGATCAAGAATATATATACTTTATAGGGTCGGCAAGGATTATTTCGATGAGTTACAAACGGAAAAACAAAATTAATATACCCTCCATACTATGGTGGAGGGTATAAAAATGACCATTCTGAAAGTAATTAACCTCAATATCTACTAACCCAGCCTTGCTATTTGGCATATTGTTGGCCTATTAATATCCTTGGAACTAAAACAGCATTAATAATCTGTATTTTGTGGGTTGTTCGGTTGGTTAGGCGATGGTGCTAATGAAAAATTTCTGGCAATTTATGTTCTTCACGTAACAGTGAAATTAATTTCTCAACGATAATTACATCGTTTTGCAATTGTTTGGATGGTCGAACTCACTTGCTGTACAAACAGCAAAGTCATGCTCGTTTATGGTCACATTTGGGACGACGATGCATCGTCGTGCAATAGCATTTTTCTACATCATTTAGTAGACATACACACACTTGTACATCATACAAAAAACATGTTTTTAGCTGCATGTGCGGGAGTTGGAAAACATCCGAAAGGACAGACAAAGTCTTTAACAGCTTGGATGTTTTTGGTGGCCAATGAACGTAAAAACAAAAACTACAACAAAAAACTTTAAGGAAAAACTAAATTTATGACAGTCATTAGAGAGCGAGCAGGCAAACGAGCGTAGTAAACGTGTTAATGTTGCAAATGTTCCAGGACATGGCCAATTTCATCATTAGACAGATTATGAAATGCCATTCGAGATTGGTTGTTGGTACGTAGTATCTTGAAAGTTGTTATATATGACCAAAAGGGAGGTAAGGTGTTGTTTTGTGGGATTTTCTGTATGGACCTTCATAGTGGTAGACTATGGACCCATGCAATATATCTTGGATTTAATTGGGAATAATTACAAGCATTTATATTTTTTTCTTGGGGTAATCGTTAAAATAGTCAATCTAAATTTTTAAAGACTTCTTTGAACATAGTCTATGGTGATAATGTATTATTAATGTGTTATGTATTATTATTATTCATCGAATTTATTAAAGTCATTTGGAGTGATAGAATTTCATATTTCACTAATTTTTCCTCCAATTATTTGTGGTTACTATCTTAACAGCCTCTTCATTATGGTCCATGCATTTGGATTTATAAAGACCAGAGCGTCCGCAGAGAGACCATGGGATTATATAAAGACCAATTGGTCTGAATGGAGGCATACCCACAGGTATGTCTAGAAATTATAGTTGTTTGTATAAACCAATTGGTCTCTATATAAGATACCAAAAACAAAAAAAAAAAAAAAAAAAAAAAAAAAGATGGGATGAATTTCCATCTGCGAAGCCTTGGCCAAACGGAATGAGACAGACATACGAAATGGATCACATACGATAAACGAAAACGATCGTGGTCAAAGAGCGGCGAAACACATCAACTGGCGGAGAAACAGTACTAAGGGCCAGAAAGGTTCTGCTATGCATTTGGTGGAACTGGAAGGGATTTATTATCCATATGGCCAAACGCTAAATTCTAATCTCTAAATCCATTTGAAAAAAGCAATTGACAAGAAACGGCCAGAATTGGCCAACAGGAGAGGTGTCGTATTCCACCAGGATAACGCTAGGCCACACACATCTACAATGACTTGCCAGAAACTTCGCGAGCTTGGCATCAAGCGATTATCATATTTTTCTTGCATTGCAAAATTTCTTTAATAATATAAAACTTTTTATCTAGGGAGGATTGTGAAAATTGATTACTGGAGTTTTTTTGCAGATAGAGAGCAGAACTTCTATGAGAGAGAAATTATGAAGGTACCTTTAAAATGACAACAAATCATACAATGAAATGGTGCATATTTGGTCCAAATCGGATATTCCGAAGCATTTTAAATAAAGTCCTATAGTCCATATAAAAATAATGGATTTCTTTTCCCCCAACCTAATATTTATACATTTTGGTAGGAAGATTTGCCATTTAATAAGAACTCAGGTTGAAAACATGTATGAAATTCTCAGAATTCCAAATATTAAAGCTGCGTAGACCAAAATTGATAATATTTTATAGGAAGATTTGTCATCAATGATATGCAATTATAACCAATTCGGTTGGGAAATTTGGTATAATTCTTTCTTCCAAAAAAGGAGGTCCTTACTCTTTTGTGAATATCCGTGAAAATTTTCATTGTATCATCCTTCCTTCTGTGAATTTTAATAGAAAATTACAATTTGAATAAGTTGAAACCTTCTTAAACCAGTAAGGAAGGTAGTAAAGTCGGACTGGGCCGACTATATGATACCCTTCACCACTTTGGGGATATTCTACATATGTATCTTTACAGATGTCGTCTTTTTGAAGGACCATTGACATGAAATTGAACGAACTTAAAAATGCGATCTTTATATAAAAGTAAACCGACTAACATCAATCCTTACACATGCCATTCTGCAATATATTCCATACTTTGTAAATAGACTTTAAGGGAACCCCCCCATTCTCGATTTTATTTTTTCAAGATTTTCAATGGGCTGGTAAATCAATACCAATGCTTGTTAAGGTTTGTAACTTTGCACATATATAATTGAAGATTTAAAAGAGAAGAAAAATAATTTACAAAAAAATTTTGTTATTGTTTTGTTGTTGTTTTTTGTAATTAAAGAAAAGTCCTTATTTTTGATGGCGGGCATGATAACTCCTCACTGGAACATCGGAATCCGAAAATTCCAACGGTGTTAGAAAGAGTACATGTCTGACTCTCGTATGAACTAGGATTATTGACTTCGCTCTAAAAAATATTTTTGAAAAATCGCGGATTTTTTACCAAAAACCAAGTTAAAAAATAAGGAAGATCTTCACCGATTGGCTTTATCCTAGTTCATACGAGAGCTATACACTCCCAGAGAAACGTTGCAAAATTTGGAACCGATTGGATTATTAGTTTTTGAGTTATCGTGCCCGCCATTCGCAAAAAAATGTTTAGAGAAAAACGCGTTTAAAGTTTGAGAAGCCCTTCAACCGTCACTTGATGCTGACACAATAAATCGGATATATCTTCAACAGTTCTTGAGATTTTCACTTGAAATTTTGTAGAGACATTCTTTAATCAGTGTAGATTCGAATTATATCAACAAAAATTTTGACCCCGTGAATGGGGGGGGTCCCCTTTAAGCAAACTTCACTGTTTATGCTTCACTGTTTAAAATGTAATATCAATCAAACATCCATTGATTATTTGGTTTACAATCAACATAAATAGGTCGAAGTTATATATGGAAGCTATTCTATATCTATATCTTAACCGATTTCAAGGAAACTTGGCCGATATTAATTTATATAAATTTCAGTACGTTTTGCCAATCGGTCTAGCTATGGGTCTTTAGTACACCATTTACTTAAAATCGGACGAAAGTATATATAGAGGCTATATGTAAATCTGAACCAATTTCAAGATAACTTGACACACGAATTGTTATAGTAACTTCAGTACATTGTACAAAATTGTGTGCGGGTCGGCCAATCTTTACATTAAATCGGACGAAAATATATATTGGAGCTATATCTAAATCTGAACCAATTTTAACACGTCATTCTTGACCTAATTTAGTACTTTATTCCAAACTTCGTGCAAATCGAAAGATATATAGGGACTTTGGAGACCGATTTACCTTAAAACGGACGAAAATATATATTGGAGCTATATCTAAATCTGGACCAATTTTCACGAAACTTAGCACACATTATTCTGGACCTAATTCAGTACTCTATGCCAAGTTTCGTGCAAATCGAAGGATATATAAGGACTTTGGTGTACCATTTACCTTAAATCGGACGAAACTATATATGGGAGCTATATCTAAATCTCGACCGATTTTCTTGGCACACATCATTCTGCACCTAATTCAGTACTCTGTGCCAAATTTCATGCAAATCGAATGATATGTAGAGACTTTGGTTCACCATGCCAAATGCGACCTGTACTTTGTTTACAATTTAACATGGACAGACAGACCGACAGACGAACGGACATGCATAAATCGACTTAAAAAGTGATTCTACGCATATTCTCAAAAGGAACTATGTGTCTATCTCGTTTCCTTTAGCCTGTTACAAACATGTGCACAAAGACATAATACCCTGTAACACAGTGTGGTGAAGAGTATAAAACTGCTTGTTAAAATATTAAATTTAAATATTTAAGAAGTTGGATTACAGATTCACTTTCCGTGTAAAATTCCGTCGTGTTCGGATCATAAATATCTTCTTTAACACGATTTGAAAATAGAGAAAAATAAAGAACTTGGTCCGTTTGATTCCATAAATATTTCGATATCCTCATCGAAAACTATAGGTGGTCCCTTCTGTGAATATCCATAAAAAATATCATGGGATACTCCCTTCAGGGCCCTCATGAGGATCCTTCCCTTCTGTGGGATCCTCATGAGGGGTACCCTATGCTCTGATTATTCCAAGAATATATAATGGGATTTATTCTCTTGTGTGTTTTTAGTAGAATATTTTATGGTGTATAATTTGGAACTTTCGTAGAACATTGTATGGATTCCCAAGTGTGTGTATGTGTTCTGCCTCGTTGCGGCAATTTCTTCATATTGCTGTACATTGTTTTATAATTTGGCACAGTCGGAATTTAAATATTTTAAGAAGAATCTGATGTTGTATATTTTAAAGAGATTTTGCTATATTTACCGTTTCATTATAATTTGTACCTTTCCTCCCTGCTTGAGAAATATTTTGTCGTTGTTGTTATCATCCTCCCATTTACACAAACAATTTTCAAAACGACAAACTTCTAACCAAGCTTTTTTTGTGGTCGCTTCATTCATCCATGCATCCATTCATTTAATTTCATCATTCTCATTAGTTAGTTGCTAAATACTACAGTTAGTTAGGAAAATCCCATCCCGCCACAAAAAAGTCCCCATAATACAATCGTTTCTTTGTTTGTTGTACTTACTCAGCACGTATGGTTATCTCGTGACCTGTATTCACCGGTGTCTCAAGTTCACTTAACAGCATCGTTTGTAGACCGCATGAAAATTGGAATTGCAGTAGACCCTTTTGCAGGAACAGTGCCATATAGTGACCGCCCTTTGTACCCTGAGCGGCTGCCAGCATGATGAGACCATTTGTGGCACGTGTTCGTACTTTGAGCTGGACATGCATCGGTAGAACGGTATCCAATGAGTCGTGATGTTGAATGTCCTTGTGAATGCGATGTGAGACATATGAATCGCCAGAGAAAGCTGCATTCTTGATGATGATGGGTGTTTCACAGAGGGCACCCTGACGATCGAAGCGACAAACACACTGTAAAAAAGGGGGGAGAAAAAAGAGAAATGGTGAGAGAGTGGTAAAGAAAAAGCGGTGTAGGGCAGTTTTTGTTGCAAATGCTAAAAACTAATTAAATTAGAGTTTGAGTTCGTTTGGCAAAAAAGCAAAGTTGTTGAAAGGTAATGTTTTTTCGGGGGAGAAGTTAGGTGAGTGTTTTTTATGGGGAAAATAGAATTAGTCACTTTTTTCCTTACAGAAAAATATCATTTTAGATTTCTAGTGCTTAATAAAAAAAAATATCTTTGCCTTACAGATCCCATCAGGGATTTAAAGACCTCAACTTCGGATGTGGGTTTGGTAAAAATATTACTATTTGTAATCAATGAATAGAATCGATGCCATATCAAAATTTGCCACTATTCAATAATTTGGCTCAAGGACAAATCCTGTGGAAATTGCAGGAAGTCGGTTCAGGTTTAGATATAGCTGTCATATATATTTGTTACCGATTTGATATAAATGGTACGCCAAAGACCTGTTTTTTTCCTATTGAGACGAAATTTCGCACAGCGTACCGAATTGGGTATAGAAGTACCTGTGTTTGTTTTGTCGAAAACGGTTAAGATTTAGATAAAGCTCCCAAATAAATTTCTCCCAATTTCATGTAAATGGTGCACCAAAGACAGTATATTTGGTGTACTGTGTACCTAATTTAAATTTTTCTTCCTTGTGGCAGCGTTTGAGCAGTCTAGGAAAGTTGATGGAGATTTCTCACCTTCGTGACTAACATGTGAGACGGAAGACTGAGCTATTTCTAGCAAATAGATTTTTATCGCCGGCGATTACTGTTTTTCCGTTGATCTTATCCTCTTCATTGGCATTGGTGTTCGGTCGTTACATCTTCCGCTAGAATCGCCAATATTACCACTGTCACAATTCCTGACCATTTGATTCTTGGCCACTAACTATACAACCTTTGGAACAGACCCTGAAGATTGCTCTGATAAGCTGTCAACAGGTCCGTCATTCGACCCAGAAGGCTTAGCCGTTTTTAGCATCAGGGATTTCTTCGCGTTGAGAAGGATTTTACCTTAGTCGGTCTGTACAGCTTCCGATGGGGTTGCTGATATTGCCGAAGACACATTAGGCTAGATCCTGAAGTTTGCTGTGAAGACTCTTCCCATGGGCGACCTTCCTACTGTAATCCTTGGCTACTAAGAGAACATGCTGATCTGTTTTTGACAACAAGGGTTTCTCGCAGATGGTTGTTCCTCCGTCTGTCTTAACCCATTCATTTACACAGGAGTTGAGGAGGGTTTGAGCTTAGTAAGTACAGCTTCCACTAGAGTCGCCGATATTGTGGATGATACTACCAATAGAGCCTTTGGAGCAGTCCCTGAAGGTTGCTGCGAAAACTTGAAAAGAGATCCGATTTTCGCCTTCCCAATGGCTGCCTTGCTGCTGCCCTTCTTGGCTATTACCGGGACATGCGAGTCCGAAGGCTGAGCTGTTTTTAGCAACATCTGCGAGATGATTGTTCTTCCGTCTTTCTTAACCCATTCATTTACACAGGACTTGAGGAGGGTTTGAGCTTAGTAAGTACAGCTTCCACTAGAGTCGCCGATATTGTGGATGATACTACCGATAGAGCCTTTGGATCAGACCCTGAAGGTTGCTGCGAAAACTTGAAAAGAGATCCGATTTTCGTCTTTCCAATGACGACCTTGCTACTGCCCTTCTTGGCTACTACCGGAACATGCGAGACCGAAGGCAGAGCTGTTTTTAGCAACAGCTGCGAGGTTGTTGCTCCTCCGTCGATCTCATTCACTTCATTGCCACAATTGTTGATAATGATTTAGTAGGTGGGTGAAGCTCCAACTTAGTCCTTGGTGTAGCCGCTGATTCAACTGACTTCAAGTCCCTGTTCTGCCTGGCCACTATCGATGCAGCCTTTGAAGTAGTCCCTGAAGGTAGCTGAGAAAACCAATATGTAAAATTTTCGTCTTCCCAATGCCAACCTTGCCATTGTCCATTTTGCCTTCCTTCAGAACACGCGAGACCGAAGCTGAGCATGTGTTTCTTTGGAACTAGATGCTGTTTCTCCGTCGATTTCATCCTTTGTATTGTTAGCAGTGTTGTGAAGGATTTCATTCGGTATAACTTCCGCCAGAGTCGCCGATATTCCGCTGACAAAACTTTAGTCTCTATCCTTCTTAGCCGCTATGGTTACAAATTTTAGAGCAGATCCTGAAGGTTACTCGGAAAACTTGCCAATAGGCTCAAATTTAGTCTTCTTAATAACGACCTGTTCTCCTTGGCTCCAAATACAGTAACGAGACCGAAGGCTGAGTTTTTAGCAACAAGGTTTTCTTCGAAGGCTTATTGCTATTCTTTCGTCGATCTCATCCACCATTGCCACAAACGTTAAGCAGGATTGGACCATAATTGTTACAGTTTCCGCTAGAGTCATCAGTATTATCGCTGACACAACTTCTGACATTGGTAACGTGATTACTCCATGCTCTGAGTTTCCTTTACCGTCGCTTGGATAGAGATCTCTTCAGAGGTAGCCACTGTACCCAAGGTAGGTATTTGACCGACCGGAATTTCTCTAGAGGTTATCTTTCGTACTTTCTCAAGACCTTATGGTGCTCCTTCATCCATATGAAATTCTTCTTCAAATTGGGTAATTATTTACCTATTGTTGGAAAAGCAAATTGTCCTCGCATACGTTTTTCTATTCAATGCTTCTTAGAGTTTGACTCTTTTGGTTGGAAAGTTCTCTAGTAGCCTTGTAAGGATAGACTCTCTTGTACTTCCTTACGATCTTAAGGAGCTTCTTCATTCAGATGGATTTCTTCTCGCTGATCAAATTGATGTTTTCGAAATAGAAAATTACCCTCCGATATGCCTTTCTATGCAATGTTTCTTTGGGTTTAGCATTTTTGGAAGCTGGAATCGACATCGAGGATTCCAAAGTGTCTTTGGAACACCCACATGTTACTCTTTTGCACTCAGTGGCCGTATGCCTCAGGTATGATTAACCAGTAAGGAAAGTAGTAAAGTCGGACGGGGCCGACTATATGATACCCTTCACCACTATGGGTATATTAAACAGGACTATTAACATGAAATTGGATGAAATAAAATATGTGATATTTATCTAAATGTGAATCTACCTAGATCTATCCATAAAGTATGTAAATCGACTTCAAACAAATATAAATAGGTCATCCGTTGGGCTATGTCTGTCAAATTTCGTGCAAATCGAAAGATATATAGCGACTTTGGTCCACCATTTACATCAAATCGGACGAAACTATACATGGGAGCTATATCTAAATCTGGACCGATTTTCTCGAAACTTGGCAGACATAATTCTAGGCTCAATTCAGTACGTTATGCCAAATTTGGTGCAAATCGAAAGATATATAGGGACTTTGGAGTACCATTTACATGAAATCGGACGAAACTATATATGGGAGCTATATCTAAATCTGAACCGATTTTCACGAAACTTGGCAGACATCATTCTAGACCTAATTCATTAGGCTGTACCAAATTTCGTGCAAATCGAAAGATATATAGCGACTTTGGTCCACCATTTACATGAAATCGGACGAATCTATATATGGGACCTATATCTAAATCTGGACCGATTTTTTCGAAACTTGGCAGACATCATTCAAGGCTCAATTCAGTACGTTATGCCAAATTTCGTGCAAATCGAAAGATATATAGGGACTTTGGGGCACCATTTACATGAAATCGGACGAAACTATACATGGGAGCTATATCTAAATCTGGACCGATTTTCTCGAAACTTGGCAGAAATCATTCAAGGCTCAATTCAGTACGTTATGCCAAATTTCGTGCAAATCGAATGATATATAGGGACTTTGGGGCACCATTTACATGAAATCGGACGAAACTATACATGGGAGCTATATCTAAATCTGGACCGATTTTCACGAAACTTGGCAGACATCATTCTAGACCTAATTGATTAGGCTGTACCAAATTTCGTGCAAATCGAAAGATATATAGGGACTTTGGGGCACCATTTACATGAAATCGGACGAAACTATACATGGGAGCTATATGTAAATCTGGACCGATTTTCTCGAAACTTGGCAGACTTAATTCTATGCTCAATTCAGTACGTCATGCCAAATTTGGTGCAAATCGAAAGATATATAGGGACTTTGGAGCACCATTTACCTGAAATCGGACGAAACTATATATGGGAGCTATATCTAAATCTGGACCGATTTTCACGAAACTTGGCAGACATCATTCTAGACCTAATTGATTAGGCTGTACCAAATTTCGTGCAAATCGAAAGATATATAGGGACCGTTTACATTAAATCGGTTAAATATATATATGGGAGCTATATCTAAATCTGAACCGATTTTTCCCAATTTCAATAGGGTTCGTCCTTGGGCCGAATAAGTGACCTATGCCAAATTTCATCTAAATCGGATTATAAATGCGACCTGTACTTTGTTTACAATTTAACACCAACAGACGGACAGACGGACGGACGGACGGACATGCATAAATCGACTCAGAAAGTGATTCTATGCATATTCTCAAAAGGAACTATGGGTCTATCTCGTTTCCTTTTGCCTGTTACAAACATATGCACAAAGACATAATACCCTGTACTACAGTGTGGTGAAGGGTATAAAAATGTAGGCGGAGGAATGTATGGTCCCCGCCTTTTCCTTATGAGTTTTGAATTAATCATCAAAACATTTGTTCAATGATATGATTAATTGCTTTTAAATCTTTTATTTTTTCTCGATTTGGTATTAAAATTTCCGTCAATCATGTGGTAATTTTCTCATTCATTTTCATATTCCAAAGAAAATAAGATTAATATCAGTTCCATTTCATTTGAACCAAATTCTTCAATTTCTTTACCATAATAAAGCATTTATTGAAATTTTGCTCCAGCTCGACAACCAATAAGTCGGCTTTTGTGAAGAAAAGAGAAACCCAAAAAAAAAAAAAAAACAATAATACAACAA